GAAGGAGGGGAAGTAAGGAGAGGGGGGAAAGGAGAGGGGTAAAGGAGAGGAGGGAAAGGAGATGAAGGAAAGAGGGGGATGGAGATGGAGAAAAAGAAAAAGAAAGAAGGGAATTCTTCTACACTTTCACGAAACTACTCTTTTCATAACAATTTTCTAAGTTTGGTTATTTGAAAAGCATGTACATGGTTCCTCCCACACAGTTGCCTCGAAGATTCGCTCTCCCAGTCATTTGAACAACTTTGGCATTTTGCAAAGTCACTTTTATGTTGCTTCAAAAAACGATTTACTGCATTTCCCTATTTTCCAGGTTTTTGAGTCCGTGACCTTAGACGTAATTGCATCTTTCACCGAAATAAGCACTTTGTCAACTCTGTGTGACTATCAAGTAGTCCACATGGATAATAACGTTTATTTGGTACATTTATTTCAGTTGTCTTGATCCGGACACGGCAGCATCGACAGGTGGTGGAGAAACAGGAAGTAATCCAGGACAGTCACCGGGAGGTACAGAGCAACCAACAGGAGCTCCACCACCACAGCCCCCATCACCCCCACCCCCTGGGCCAGAAAACCCACCAGAACCAACTGTGCCAGGAGGAACTGCACCACCACCTCCCCCAACTCAGCCACCCTCTCCTCCCCCCGAGGGACCTGAAAATCCTGCAGGACCAACAGCTGAAGTACCCATTCCTGGACCTCCTACAGAACCCGTACCCCCACCGGCCGGTCCAGACCAATGCAATACTGACATGTCTGCTGATGATAAGTGTGGCATCGTAACAGACGCTGCCGGACCATTTTCCGGATGTGGTAACGCCAAAGATATTTTTGATCTATGTTTGAGAGACATCTGTATGCAAAATATGGATATCTGCCAAGCCTTGGTAAACGCCCAAAAGGCTTGTGTTGGTCAGTCATTTACACGAGAATTGGTTGTTGCCTATAAAATGGAAGCCGGATGCGGTAAGTCACATTTCTTTAATGTCAACGAAGGGGTTTGCATCTTCAATTGTACCCCAGTTTATTTTCAACAAATTTTAAAATATGCCTATTTTACGTTTTTGAACCAAATTATGTGTCAGAATGCACCAAATTTTTCGACAATTTTCGATGGAAACTTCATGAGAGGCTTGCGACTGTGACACCTCAACAGAATTGCCGCATTTTGAATTCAGACTCGACAGTCTGCCCCCATTGAGGCAGTTTGTCCCCTATTTGTGCCCCCAGTCTCGAGAGGCTGACGCCGCCACTGCACACGCAATCTGGTTGTTTCACAGTTTTAGCCTGTGATGCTGTACAACGACTATCAATTGTAACAGACAAATTCCCACCACCTTCAGCTAACTGATGAAACTTATCACAGTGGTAGGTAATCTCCTATTTCTTATTTTCTAATATTTCTTTTTACAGAGGAAGATTGCCCAGAAAACATGATCTTTAGTTTTACACCACCGCCACCATCCTCTTGTAAGAATAAGCATCCAGTGGTACCAGAGGAAAGACCTACTCCACCCCCGGGATGTTTCTGCAAACCAGGTTTCTATCTAGAGGAGGGTGAATGTATCCCAAGCTCCCAATGTGGGTGTGTTGATAAAGATGGACTCTACCATGAGGTATGTCTAGTTTAAAAAAGTTAAAATTCGACACTTGACACTTGTTCAAATTTCACGCTTGATCAAATTTAATTTAGTTCAGCGTTCCCCCTAGTTCAAAGTTGAAGCCGATTTAAACTGGACCTCAATTTGTTAGCTTATCGCTACACTTAAATGGCGGACCAGTTTAACGTTAGTTCAGAGTAACGCTAGTTCAGAGTAACGCTAGTTAAGAGTTGACTATAGTTTAGAGTTGACGCTTGTTCAAAGTTCCCTTTAGTTCAGAGTTGATCCTGGTTTAAACTGGATCCCTATTTGTTAGTTAATCGCTAGTCCAGAGTAACGCTAGTTCAGAGTAACGCTAGTTAAGAGTTGACTATAGTTTAGAGTTGACGCTTGTTCAAAGTTCCCTTTAGTTCAGAGTTGATCCTGGTTTAAACTGGATCCCTATTTGTTAGTTAATCGCTAGTTCAGAGTCGCTAGTTCAGAGTAACGCTAGTTAAGAGTTGACTATAGTTTAGAGTTGACGCTTGTTCAAAGTTCCCTCTAGTTAAGAGTTGATCCTGGTTTAAACTGGATCCCTATTTGTTAGTTAATCGCTAGTCCAGAATAGACGGTAGTTCAGAGTTGACGCTAGTCCAGAATAGACGGTAGTTCAGAGTTGACGCTAGTCCAGAATAGACGGTAGTTCAGAGTTGACGCTAGACCAGAGTTGACGCCAGTTCAGAGTTGACGCAAGTTTAGAGTTGACGCTAGTTCAGAGTTGTAGTACAAAGTTGACACCAGTGTATTGCTATAATATTGTTTTGTTTTAGCGAATGTTGGGAAAATAAGAAAAAAAAATTTGCATGTTTTTAACTTGAAAGGGGATTATTTGAATATTATTCTGTTTATTATATAAAAATGCATATTTCAACAAAATAAATTTTGATTTTGGGTCTGACGGGGGACCAGCTAGAGACTTTTGACATTAGTATTGATCGAAAACTAGTTCAGAATGGCCTCACAAGCAGTTTGTTCATGTTCTTACTCAGTTATTATTTTTTCTCTTACAGTTGGATGATGTATGGTTTTCAGATGGCTGTAGTACAATGTTTTCTTGTAAAGCTGGATCAGTCAAAACCTTACCCTACACATTAATAGAAAATTCCAATTGTGGCCAGGTGGACAACAAACCTTACCCAGAATGCAGTAAAGGATTTATGGGTGTGGCCACTGAACTTTGTAACAAAGGTCAGTAGCATATTTTGGCTAGTCCTGTTGTCGTTTATACGCATTGTACTCATGATAAAATTTGATGATAAAACGACCTTAAATAGAACCATAATAATATCCAAAAGTTAAAAACTTACCAATGCGGGTGTGTTTGCCCATTTTTAGCAATGTATTATCTATGTTGTTTCAGTGGAAGAAAAGGACGATAGTTACTGTGCCGATGTTCCCGATGGTGACATCACAAAACGTGTCTGTCTTTGTAAAAAGGGTTTCGTATCAGACTGCGAATCGTGTGTTGGTAAGTTACTCTACTTCAGTCCAACCACTGTAGCTTCTCAGGCCTGTTTTACACCAATTTAACATTTAGGTAACCATCAACTTGGCCAATCATTTTGTGGCTAATGACTATTGACTAATGAATACAGGTTCGCATCCGTTTGACCAATCAAAGTCTCAGTCATTTTTTAGCTGAGCTGATTAGTAATGTAGTTTATAGCTCACTGTCGAAATTTGAGCCTTCTAATCCATGTTTGTCTAGAATCGTTTAAATGTTAAACTGAAGTCATTTCTTGAGACTCTGCCATATATAGAAAAGACATATAAATATCAAGTGAAATTCCACATTTGGGATAATGTCTAAGGAATTCTACGAGTTTCGAACATTTTTAGTACTAATTGCATATATTCAAGACCCAAATCAACCCCCGAAAATGACGAACCTGTCCCTTTGTCTTACCAATCTGTATGGTTATTTCGTACCTTTGCTGATTATATATACATTTTTATATTATTTTTTTATATTTTTAGACCTGGACGAATGCCAGACAGGATTTGCAAAATGTGGAGCCAATGAAAAATGTGTGAACTTAAGAGGAAACTACACTTGTGAATGTGCCCCAGGTTATGAACGTGGTAATCTTGGAGTCTGTATCAGTAAGTATATCATTCGCATATACAGGCCAGTGGCCACAGGATAATGGGTGGTGGGGAGGGGGGGGGGGGGGTGCAAAAGGGGAGAGGGCGCTAAAAAAAGTGCATTGACTCACTGAAAAAAATCGATAACCGATCAATTACTGTAACTAAATACCATACATCATAGCGCCTCAGGATATATTACTTCCCTCCGGACAATCAAGTCTGGCTACCGGTCTAAGTGTATATGATCCGTGTCAATAGCGCGACAGGTTATATTTTTTAGGTTTTTTTTGAAAAATATTTCTATGTTTTTTCTTACATTTACTGATATGTAATGATTCCTTTTATTTAGAATGACGCCGCCCTAGACTGGGGGCAGACTGACTTGATGAAGGAAAACTAACTGTCGGGTTTAAGATTCAAATACGATAGGTCCGTGGAAGCGCCAAAGGTGCAACATCCCATAGATCTTTGAGAGAATCTCTTCAAGGAAAATTAAAAATAAAATTGAATTGATTTGGTGCATTCTGACACATATATTTGGAGTACAATCCAGTTTTATATGGTGTCAAATGACCACCACTCCCACCCCCCTTTCCTCCACCCCTCCATCCCCTGTAACCCACTGTCCACCACTGAAACAAGGTAAGCCCACCTATATTGTTATATCCTATCATACATTTTGTTTTTGTACTTTCCAGATATCAATGAATGTCAACGAGAGGGCATGGGTATGTGTCAACCAAACTCGAAATGTATTGATTTACCTGGAAGATATTCATGTGCCTGTTGCTATGGTTACAAGGCAGTACCAAACAGCATTAGTGAATTCAGATTCACCTGTCAACGTGAGTTATTTTAAATTTCAATTTATTCCAAAATCTACACTAATAAACAGTACTTCGGTTCGGTTTTGTTACGTTTTTGTAAAAATGAAATGGTGCAAATTGATGCTATCAGTGTCCCTTATACACATAAAAAGTTTAGAGAACATGTTAACAGGCAAGTGGTTCAATGAGTTTTTGTTATATTTTAGGTGACCCTGCAATCCTTAGTGTTGGTAACGACTGTTGTATCTGTAACACTGCAGATTGTAAACCTCCTTCAGACGGAAACCCAGCTCAAGTACATACTTTATTCTACCTTCCATTATTTTCAAATTTAGATTACCAGAACGGAATTTCATTTCGTTATTTTCGGTCCCCATTGTGATCTAAAAAAGATTTCTACCAATGTCGCGCTCTGTTAACGTTTATTTCAACCAGTCACAGCGTGTTATACTGAATCCTTGTCTAAATATCGACAATGAATTGGGGGATGGCGCCTATGAATTTCATGTATCTTGCACATACTTGATAATAAAATGAATGTAGATTTGCGTCCTACTTTTGAAAAGCAATTGTGCTTATAACGGACAACATGGTGCAGTGTGGAATGAGGGAAATTTTGCAAGGACGGCTTTATGAGGCTACTGTACTCTTTTTTGTTTTCCTTTCTCCTTTCATGAGACGTATTTTTTGTGTTTAGGTCTGTGGTACAGACGGAATTGAATATGATAACTATAAACAACTTTATGAGCTCAACTGTGCCAAGAATGGCGAAGCTAATATTGGAGTCGGTATTGCCTCATATGGATCATGTAGAAAGGAAGGCACTACAAGTAAGTTGATTCTGATTATTTTTTCTTTTCATTGCAGTGAGGATGTTGACATTTGGTGATGTTTTTTTTCGAAATCGTGCCTTCCTCTTTGAAATTATGTGCTTACTCTTTGATATCGAGTGATTTATCTTAGAAATTTTGCCTTTGTATTGGAAATATTCTATTTGTATCATGAATGATTTGTATGAATTAATAATTGTATTACTCTATGCTACATTGTGGTATAATATTATATTGTTTTATAGCTTCTACTACTTCAACCACCACTAGTACTACAACTACTACACCTAAACCTCCCTCAGTCTGTGACAGCAGCAAGATTTGTTCCCAAGCTGAAAGATCTACTGGTACATACTATAAATATATCTTTACACCTTTGTTGTGGCCATTGCAAAAAACGGAATTGATTTGGTTTATTCTGACTCATAATTTGGAGACCTTAAACTCCTATTACAAAAAATAGTTTTTTGGTCTCTTCGAATTTAATTAATCCGATAAAAAAAAATGAGAATTGGTAGGGTGTCCTCACGCTGACAATTCCTTACTCGTGCAAAGAAAGACAGATTAGTTATTTATAATTCAGAGAGTTCTATAATTCGCTCGTAGAACCTTGTTAGAGAAATGCTTTCTCCAACTTTGCTTCATCGACCACAAAGGTGTGAGAATGACATAAAAGTCGTGATTCGACTCGACTCAACTCAATTGATGAAACCACTGTATTGTTTATAATATTTTGTTTTGTCAGATAAACCATGCTGCAATGGTGGAAATAGATACAAGTCTTTCTGTGAGATGAGAATGTCCATGTGTTTGAAGAACAATCAGAATCCAGATATTCCTACAACAGCTTGTGGAAACTGTTTCCCCACCATTAAACCACCAACTACTACACCCGTTCCTACACCAAGTGGTATGTAGATTGAATCCATTACAATAACGATAATGCCTAGCCTAGATATATTGCTGCTTACAATAACGATGTCTAGCCTAGATATATTGCTGCTTACAATAACGATGTCTAGCCTAGATATATTGCTGCTTACAATAACGACGATGTCTAGCCTAGCCTAGATATATTGCTGCTTACAATAACGATGTCTAGCCTAGATATATTGCTGCTTACAATAACGATAATGTCTAGTCTAGATATATTGCTGCTTACAATAACGATAATGTCTAGCCTAGATATATTGCTGCTTACAATAACGATAATGTCTAGCCTAGATATATTGCTGCTTACAATAACGATAATGTCTAGCCTAGATATATTGCTGCTTACAATAACGATAATGTCTAGCCTAGATATATTGCTGCTTACAATAACGATAATGTTTAGCCTAGATATATTGCTGCTTACAATAACGATAATGTCTAGCCTAGATATATTGCTGCTTACAATAACGATAATGTCTAGCCTAGATGTATTGCTGCTTACAATAACGATAATGTCTAGCCTAGATATATTGTTGCTTACAATAACGATAATGTCTAGCCTAGATATATTGCTGCTTACAATAACGATGTCTAGCCTAGATATATTGCTGCTTACAATAACGATAATGCCTAGTCTAGATATATTGCTGCTTACAATAACGATAATGTCTAGCCTAGATATATTGCTGCTTACAATAACGATGTCTAGCCTAGATATATTGCTGCTTACAATAACGATAATGCCTAGCCTAGATATATTGCTGCTTACAATAACGATGTCTAGCCTAGATATATTGCTGCTTACAATAACGATGTCTAGTCTAGATATATTGCTGCTTACAATAACGATAATGTCTAGCCTAGATATATTGCTGCTTACAATAACGATGTCTAGCCTAGATATATTGCTGCTAACAATAACGATAATGCCTAGTCTAGATATATTGCTGCTTACAATAACGATAATGTCTAGCCTAGATATATTGCTGCTAACAATAACGATAATGTCTAGCCTAGATATATTGCTGCTTACAATAACGATAATGTCTAGCCTAGATATATTGCTGCTTACAATAACGATAATGCCTAGCCTAGATATATTGCTGCTTACAATAACGATAATGCCTAGCCTAGATATATTGCTGCTTACAATAACGATAATGCCTAGCCTAGATATATTGCTGCTAACAATAACGATAATGTCTAGCCTAGATATATTGCTGCTTACAATAACGATAATGCCTAGCCTAGATATATTGCTGCTTACTTCATTGCCCCTTAATTAGCAGAAAGGGGCGAGCAATGGTGAAATGCCTCACCCCTTAGAGGGATTGTAAAGAGGTTTCCCAAAAAATGTATGCATATCGGGGACAATGATAGCATTGATTTGCACCATTCATTTACAAGAGCTGAAAAAGTCCGACTGAAATTTAGAATGGTGCAAGTCGATGAGATCAGTGACCGGGAGATACACATACAAACATTAAAAAACCCTATATAATATCTTTAAGTGTACACGTATATAGTGTTACATGGGGCCGTTTCAGAATCGATGATGTCTATCTTATATATCTTGACCCCTACTTCTGGGACAGGGGCAGCAAAATGGCAGTTTATTTTCAATTTCGATGATGGCTGCCAAGATATCTGCCCCCTACTTCCTGCATTTTCTTTATCAATCTGTTCACTGTTAATTTATTTTTTTATTTATTTGTTTAGAGAGCGACTTTGAACCTTGGGGACCCTGGAAAGAATGTCAACCCAGACCATCTGGATTACCTTGTGGTACCGCCAATGGTGTTAAATACAGAAACAGATTATACACCGGCACAGATACTTCCTTACTAACATCTGAGATGTTACGACAACAAGATTCCTGCGATCTTCATCCATGTCCATCAGATACACCTCAACCAGGTACGCACTTTCATTTCACTGGTTCATAGAATACTCCCGACAAGGTACACGCTTTCATTTCACTAGTTCATTGAATACTCCGACAAGGTACACGCTTTCATTTCACTAGTTCATAGAATACTCCCGACAAGGTACACGCTTTCATTTCACTAGTTCATAGAATACTCCCGACAAGGTACACGCTTTCATTTCACTAGTTCATTGAATACTCCGACAAGTTACACGGGTAATAATTATAAGTTCAATTTCAGTGCAGGTTCAATGTACATTTATCTAAGAAAAACAGTCCATTAACGAGTAAATTTTAATTTGGAAATATACGCACTTTCTATGCACTAATACTTCAAAGCAAGGTAGCAGATTACAGGCTACGTTTTTGACAGGTTATTCTTAATAATTCTCGTTTTATATTATAGAGGTTCCTAACCCCTGTAACGTTGAAGACTGTCCCTCTTCGGACACAGAACAATTCTGCGGCAAGATCGTAGGTCTTGACACTCAACCAAAAACCTACAAATCTCGATGTCATCTGGAGAGAAATTCTCAATGTCAAGGATTGGAAATCAGCAAGAATCCCAATGATTACTACCCCGGAATCTGTAGCCCTGGTGGAAGTAAGTAAATACTGTTTTTATTATGAGAAAATCTCAACCACGCAAAGCCACCTCATCAGCATCATATTCCGAATACAGGTTGACATGGTCTTCTTAACGGAAGAATAGCGAATGGTGTCGGTTTAGACACGATGTCTTTGAAATGAAATGAAATGGGGTTTTTACGTCCTACAATTCTGGTTGTCTTACGAGTTAACATATTTCAACAAGCTAATCTATTAGTATGAGTTTGTTTAAATATGTAAATGAGTAAGACACGTGGTAAACGTTGAAGATAAGATCAACCATTCAAAGTGACCCTAAGAAGGGTTAACCTTTGTGCAGATATTGGTCACACTAACATTATGAGTCGTAAATTTTCTCATTCTGACCATAAATGGTATAAAAATGTATAATGGCTCAGCGAGTTAAACGCTGGCTCGCTTACCCGAATTCAGTCGATAAATCCCTGCTTAGATCGAAATAACGCCTTCCTATTTAAAATAGGACGTAAAAATCTCTTCAATTCATATCATTTTCAACATTGTTATGTTTTTTCAGCTCGACCACTCTCTCTGCCATGTAAGAGAGGTCCATTTAAAATCACCTACGCCTATAACTCTCTTGATTCTGCGTCCGGCACCACCTGTTCCGCAGACAATGTAGAAATTGGTACCTGTCAATCTGGAGCCTGTGATGAAGGAACAAACGACTGTTGTAAAGCAGTAGAATTCGAAGAACTTGACTCCATAGTGACTTGTATTAACATGGCCACCCAGCGAATCGAAAAAGTCAACAAAAAGGTATGTACCTCAGATTTATTGTAGAAATGTTTTCAATGGCGTAGATTGAATGTTCAGTGGCGTAGACTAGGTTTACTGAGACTACATAGCCGACTGCTGATAGGCTATGATTTAGGATGAAGCCTTTACAACCTTTACAACTGACCTGTGAGAATAATTTGTACACAGCAACCTTTATGACTGACTGACCTAGCGACTCACCTTTTAAAAGAGGCCATTTCCAATAAAATGGCTCTTGAGACTCTCCAGTTCCAAGCAGCTGACCTTCCCTAACTTCAAGGTTGACCTTTCCTTCGCAACCAACATCAAGACTAACCAAACGGATTGACCTTTCCCTCGCAACCAAGATAAAGATTGACCTTTCCCTAGCAACCAACATCAAGATTGACCTTTCCCTGGAAACCAACATAAAGATTGACCTTTTAGGCCGACCATTCTCATTCAACGAACCATCAAGACGGGCGTTACCATAGCGACTGGCCATTTACATAGAAACACTCTGTTTTGGATCGACATTTTATTAGCGACTGACCTTTCCATGGCAAAGACTAACAAACTGAAAATAATTTTACAATAATACATTGAAAGTTTAATAAAAGACGGAGAACTAACTCTTCAATTGATATATTTACAGGTCTACTCAGCTATAAGATGCGACTGTGTGGATAAAGACGATTAAAAAGAGAGAGATTTCTATATAATTAATTATTAATTCACTATATTATGCCATTTGGCAATTACATAACATACTATATTATTATAATAATAAATATTACTGCAATGATATGACAGTTTTTGCTTTTCATAATATTAAATAGATATACAGTAGAGCAACCGAAAACTCCGGTAACCACAAAATGAAACGGATCGTTAATTATGTAAAATTAAGTTAATCCAAAATTCCGGTTTCCGTTTCCACACGGCTGTGATTAGCAATCACATGTCACTATGAGTTCTGGAACTGACGTCCTTCCAGTGGCTCCACTACTATAGGGACTGGTTGAACCAAGTCCACGGACCCTCACCTGTAAGCCTCCAATAACCAGAAAAAATGCAAGAAACAAAACATTTCCTGGGGAGGGGCCACAACCCACTGAAGTCCATGGGCCCCCGCTCTTCTATTTGAGCACCTGCGTCCTTCCTGCAGTCTCTATTTTACATCTTATAGAGCCCAATCTTATTTATCTGAACTCTTTTCAGAATCGGACATTTGTTTCTCCCACAATTATATAAATTAGGCTAGGATAACAGAACTTTAGACTGTCACTAGGGAGTAGGCTCTCTTCCTGAAAGGCAGTAATAATCCACGTCATGATATTGGAGAACCGAGGGTCGGATTTCAATTCTGAAAGATGACTGAATGAGCTCAACACATTGTGATACAAATCTTTATATGTACCTTAATGGGACAGAGAGCCTGGTATTCTCGAAACGATCTTAGTGCTAGGATGTCCTAGAATCAATGTTAGAAGATAAAAACTTAGGATATCCTAGAATCAATGTTAGTAGATAAGAACCCAGGATATCCTAGAATCAATGTTAGAAGATAAGAACTTAGGATATCCTAGAATCAATGTTAGAAGATAAAAACTTAGGACATCCTAGAATCAATGTTAGAAGATAAGAACCTAGGATATCCTTGAATCAATGTTAGAAGATAGGAACCTAGGATGTTCTAGAATCAATGTTAGAAGATAAGAACCTAGGATGTCTTAGAATCAATGTTAGAAGATAGGAACCTAGGATATCCTAGAATCAATGTTAGAAGATAAGAACCTAGGATATCCTAGAATCAATGTTAGAAGATAAGAACCTAGAATGTCCTAGAATCAATGTTAGAAGATAAGAACCTAGGATGTCTTAGAATCAATGTTAGAAGATAGGAACTTAGGATATCCTAGAATCAATGTTAGAAGATAAGAACTTAGGATATCCTAGAATCAATGTTAGAAGATAGGAACCTAGGATACCCTAGAATCAATGTTAGAAGATAAGAACCTAGGATGTCTTAGAATCAATGTTAGAAGATAAGAACCTAGGGTGTCCTAGAATCAATGTTAGAAGATAAGAACCTAGGATGTCTTAGAATCAATGTTAGAAGATAAGAACTTAGGATGTCCTAGAATCAATGTTAGAAGATAAGAACTTAGGATATCCTAGAATCAATGTTAGAAGATAAGAACTTAGGATGTCCTAGAACTAGGATCGTTTTGAGAATACATGGCCTGGTGTTTTCTATTTAAAATATGGACCTTATTGTGGTGGAAACAAGTGTGCGTATCTGAAACACTAATATCATGGATTTACACGATTTCAATTTCCAATCAGATGTCTGTGGTTCCTGCAGTTCCAATAAAATGAAAGGTTCTGAACATCACTATCACAACGCCCCTTATATTTATCATTAGCAAATTTTGGGATAGTGATGTCATAAATCCTTATTTTTAGTACGATTAGCAGGTTAGTTGGACACAATATTTTGTATTCAGCAACTCATCATTATCCCTTAGGGCTATCTCACTCAATATCACACCACAATAAAATAGCTGTTTCCGTTTTGAAATGAAATGGACTGAGTTTTACGTCCTACGTTTCTGTGTCTAATGGGCCGATAAAGACTGGCAATACCATGCAGTGTGCGATGAGGGGAATTTTGACGGGACAGCAGTATAGCCTAATCTTTTTCGATTTCCAACTGTCAAGGATGAAGGGACATACAGGACCCCATGTATTGTCCAATCTGAACAACATGTTTTTTTCGTGGTGTTTCTGTTTCAAGTTTTAATTAAATAATTTAGAATATGACAATTAACAATAAATAGGACGGAATAAATAAAATACACAATAAAAACAAAATGGACATATTTAAAGGGATACTACCTCTTAGAATGGACATAAATTTTAAAGTCTCAAACTTGGTCGCTAAGTGTATATATTCATCAGTTAGACTTACCAGGTGTCATGACTAAAGAATAGAATCTTTATATAACAGGATATATCTATAAAACTAAACTTATTACTAAGAATGTTTTAAAATTACTTAGTTTAATGAATTATTACTTAGTTTTATAGATTTATTAGACTATAGAGAGATTCTGTTGTATAGTTATAACACCAGGTATAACCACTCATGAACAAAGACTCATTTGAACCAAGTTGAGAAATCTGTTGGTAATTCTAGGAGGTAGTATACCTTTAAAGTGAATCTAGTTCATGACTGCTCATAAAACTAAATCAGCAAATCAAAGACACGAAAATGAGTTTTACATTCTACTTCACTGCTCAAAATATAGTCAACTGTCCTTGTTTTGCATAAACCATGTGGTCCAAGATATCAATGGACTTCCTGGTAGTCTCTGACTCCCAGACTGTTCCTGCATACAATATGTCACAGCTGAGCATAGACAAAGAAGAGCTAAAGCAAGGATATTCAACCTTTTTCTTCTACCCTTTCCAGATCCTTGATAAATTGTATCACCCCCATCCACTATAAATCTATAAACTATTTCGTGATTTTCTCTATGGTTTTTCCATCTTATCTTTTTTTCATATTGCATTGTTGTGGTCTGTAGCCCCTGACACAATATAGTTTCTGACAGGCACAATGTACTATATATTTGTTTATGTCCACAATAAAACAGTAGCAAGACCAATTGAGTGTTGCACCAAGTTACTGAAGATTGTTTATATTCGAATACAAGCTCTAGCCTTGTCCAGGATATCTTTACGTATTTTGGGGTAGTTAGGGTGACTTTCAAGGACCTGTAAATAAATAAGATTAGTTTAATAAAACAAACCTTGATTACCCTAAATATATACTTAGTCCCTATTGTGTATTATGCTGAGTAATGCAATATGGTCCAATCATCAAGTGAAATTCACAGAATGATATAGTACAGTATTTTTGATGCCATCAAATCAGTGATAGGTGACCAGAGTTCAAGCAGCTGTACTGTAATTTAACAGTAACAATTAGGCAACACCCTTAAAATTTTGGGCTCTGAGTAAAAGATCAACCTAGCACAATGGATGCAAAGTTGACAACTCTAGTTGAAATTTTGCCAGGACAGCGGCATTGGCCTTCTCAATTTTTTATGACATTTGTGTACACAGCCTGTAGCACAAGGGGCCTCCGTTTATTGTCTCATCCAACAAACTAGACACCTTTTTCCATTTCAGCCCCTTTGAACTGAAGCCCCTCCCCTTTTTATCATGACTTGCAAGAGCTTCTATTTCATTGGATAAAACAGTTATGTGATCAATGCCGCAATAAGTTCATGCTGTCAATCATTTTATTAAAGTGATACCAGTGATAGATATTTATGTTACAAGTTATTTATACTCATACTAACAGATTAGCTTGTTTCAATATATTAACTGGTAAGAATAGTCGTATATATACTACTTATCCCTCCGAACCCCAACCAAACCGTGGTACATATATACATATATATTACTTACATGATGGCAGATATCTATAGCATCAACATGTCTCTTAGCCTTCATATAATTAAACGCTAACTTATACCCTACAACATTCAATATTACACTTTCATTATAGTTAATCAACACAAACACATTTCATTTCCCTAGCTGACAGAATATAGAACAACAATTCATGGTTAAAAGATTTATGCAAGGTTTCGACGTGTTTCCCCCGCACTCTCAGTGATTGTTCTTATATAAAGGTGTGTCTCTATATCAGACTCACAACTGCCGAATGCCATTTAAATATAAAGACTCTAAAAAAATGATTTTCTACTTGAAATAATTCTCTTTCATAAATTTCATCAAACAATTGCTAAATGCCATTTAAAGACTTGATAGAACTTAATTAACAATGTAACTTTAGGAGGCATCTGGATACAGAACATTCATATTTAATGGTAGATGAACACAATGACAATTTTACATTCTTAAAAGAGCTACAGATGGTTGAATATGAATATTAACCAATCACTAATCTTGTTATCGATCATTCTTCTATCCAAGTTGATCTATTTCTTCAAATTTTCCTTTTTTTAAATCCACCTCAAGCTAAGAAAAATTCTGATGCACCAGAAAAACATAGCATAGCATAGCATAGCATAGCATAGCATACTCACCAATAACAGGATTATTCTTGTTTCCATATTTCCAGGCATTCTCGTAGCTATTGGCAGCATCTTTATACGACTGTTCTTTTTCCATGATAAATCCCAGATATTCATACGCTTTACAACTCGCCTACAAAATATCAAAATCAATATCAACTGAAACCAGGGGGAGACAATTGGAATGATCCAAATAGACCTTATTCACATCTAGTTTTTGAGATACTGAAAGCGAGGTTCATATGAATGAATATCCTCTATGACATCGCTGAACACTCGATCACCAGCGAGAAAATGGGATTAAAACTGCCCTTTCTCAGAAATGTGTGCTGATAAACTTCGTCTAGAAGTATAATCAAACAGCTTAATCAACTCTGATTTAATGAAATGATTAAATTTGAGTTCGTGGAAAAAGAGACTTTGAAGATGTCAAGGTGGATATTTTACTGCAGCGACACCACATTACCTTTGTTTGTTTGCGTTATGAGCATTGTTCTGGATTCAATATGGCCACTACATGAATAAGCTTAAAAAAAGTCATATCATGCTCTGGAGCATCAAGTTCTAAAGCACAAATAGTTGATAATTTGACTCAAATATTTTGTAATTTTTGTGGACAGATAATATACTGACAAGTTTGAAGGTCTGTTGGTTTGGCAATTCCACTAAGATGTTTGTGAAGTAGCTATTAGAAAAAATGGTTAAATATTATTTGCAACATTTGTAATAGTAAATTTTAGCACAGTTAGCACACACCTCCTTTTTAATGTAATATATCTTTGATTGTCTGAAGACCGTACAGCATGAAACATGTTTCAGGGTCTGTTTTGATATTTCTACAATTCAGAGTAAAAACATGTTTCAAGTTCTGTTTTGATATTTCTATAATTCAGAGTAAAAACATGTTTCAGGGTCTGTTTTGATATTTCTATAACTCTGAGTAAAAACATGTTTCAGGGTTTGTTTTGATATTTCTATAACTCAGAGTAAAAACATGTTTCAGGTTCTGTTTTAATATTTATTTCTCCACCTACCTTATTATGATATAAACATTTCTTCAATAATTCTGTTGCCATATCAAATTTACCAGACTTTAATAGAGAATAGTAAAAATATAGTTTAATGTGATTTCTGTTTTATTGTTGTTCTAAAGATCAGGGAACTAGAACAGATGAAAAATAATTGAGGTAAATCATGATCGAATATAAACTCTTATAAAAAAAAAAACGATTCAAGTTATCTAATCTTATGGTCTCATTTCTTACAATCATGATGACTTTGGTCGAGTTTCGTGATGCTCTGGACCCATTATTTAGGAAATGAAATGAATGGAGCTTTACGTCCTAATTTTCTGCACAATATCCCATTATTTAGGGTTTGAACGACGGACGACGGCAAAGTTGGGTCCGAGGATTTCAAACAGTCTCCGTTTAAATGGAGTTTAATTCTTAAATTTTTTGCAGTTGAAGGGCTAATGAAATGCAACAAATTTTACATCTCGGTGTTCTAAAAGTTTTAAACCCAAGTCACTCAAAATTAATCCAAGAAATTTACCTGTATAATCCAACTAGGAAGATTTCAAGATATTTACTTGTATAATCCAACTAGGAAGATTTCAAGATATTTACCTGTATAATCCAACTAGGAAGATTTCAAGATATTTACTTGTATAATCCAACTAGGAAGATTTCAAGATATTTACCTGTATAATCCACCTAGGAAGATTTCAAGATATTTACCTGTATAATCCAACTAGGAAGATTTCAAGATATTTACTTGTATAATCCAACTAGGAAGATTTCAAGATATTTACCTGTATAATCCACCTAGGAAGATTTCAAGATATTTACCTGTATAATCCAACTAGGAAGATTTCAAGATATTTACCTGTATAATCCACCTAGGAAGATTTCAAGATATTTACCTGTATAATCCACCTAGGAAGATTTCAAGATATTTACCTGTATAATCCACCTAGGAAGATTTCAAGATATTTACCTGTATAATCCACCTAGGAAGATTTCAAGATATTTACCTGTATAATCCACCTAGGAAGATTTCAAGATATTTACCTGTATAATCCAACAAGGAAGATTTCAAGATATTTACCTGTATATAAATATCTGCCAATAATAACCAACTTTTCTCTAAATCTTCTGCATCCTGCAACAAAAATAAAATTGATTTAAAATCAGTAACTCAGAATTCAGACAGTATTCAAAATGGCAGAGAAAGGAATGGAAGGGTTAATTTTGTATGTTACATTACCAATTACGAACAGACCAAACTTGTATAAATCTTGT